ATTCCTCATCACCATCATCATTGTCAGCGTCAACTTTCTCATGGTTAACATCTTTATCATTATAACCATTATCATCATGTGCATCGTGAAAGCATAGCGTAATGTCATCGCCATCATCATCATCATCATAAGCATCATAAACATTCATTTATTCAATCGATCATTCATTCATTCATTCATTTATTCAATCGATCATTCATTCATTCATTCACTCAATCAATCATCTATTCCATCCATCAATCAACCAATTGAATATGATTATGTAGCAACTAATTCAATTACAGAATGCATACCAGTTTTCTTTCGTTTCAAATGCAATGAAAATATTTCGAATGAATGAATGAATGAGAAAAAACAAAAAAACAACAAAATTAACAACAAATGCAACAACAACAATACAGCAACAACAAAACAACAACAACAACAAAGCAACAATAACACAGCAACAATAACACAGCAACATTAACAACAACAACAACAACAACAATAAAACAACAACAACGACAGAACTATTTAAAATATGCTAGCAACGAAGCAGTACACATATCGCCTCTCAGCATCACGAGGTATATTAAACATGACGTCATCGTCAGCGTCATCATCATTGTCGTGGAATAATAACGATAATCATCATCCCCACCATCATCAACATCGTCATCATTACTTTTTCAGATCGTACATGATTATTACCATTGTCCAACAATGGACAATGGTAATAATATTAACAAATAAACAGAACGGACAAACAAAACCTCAACAACAACAGCAGCAACAACAACATCAACAACAACATCAACAACAACAGCAACAACATTTACAACAACAACAATGATAATAATAACAATAATAAACAAACAACAACTGACCTATTTACTTGACATATATAGTAATCTTCATCGCAAACAATCATTTAATTTGTTGTTGCTTTCGTAAAAGAAGTTGCTAAAATTATCATATTCTTTGTTGTTGTCGTGACGTCATTATTACGTCATCATGTTTGACTGTGATTGTCTTCATTGTTGTTATCATCACCATCTTATTCATCATCATTATTATTAGTATAATAGTATAAAGTTGCTTTAGAATCTATGTCATCATCATCATCATCTTTTTTGTTGTTGTTGTCGTTGTTGTTGTTGTTGTTGTTGTAAACGTCATTTCATTTTTGTTGTTGTTGTAATAAGGATTTTTAATGTTCATCTCATTAAATTGTGTCATCAGTGTCGTTTTAGTTGCTGCTATTAATGCTATCGTTATTAATTTGATATTAATAATATCATTGTTATCATTATTATTATTGTTACTATTAATCATATTATTATTATCATTATGGTTATTACTATTATTATTATAGTCATTCATGGCTAGTATTATTATTAACATTGTTATTATTACGTAAAAAATACATGCCTGACTTAATGTGAACCTTTAAAGTACGGTATGATAATAGATGACAATTTGTTGTTATTATCAATATTATAATAATTATTATTATTGTTATAATTATTATAATTATTATTACTATTATTATTATGACGTAATATATATGCAAGTACGGTCAGCTAGTGTTTTATTAAGGTGGCCAATTAGGCTTATACGTGAGGCTATTTTCTAGTTAATGGCAATGCTATGATGATGACGACGATGGAGATGATGGTGATATTATTGTTATTATTATTATTTATTATTATTATTATTTATTATTATTATTATTATTTATTATTATTATTATTTATTATTATTATTATTATTTATTATTATTATTATTTATTATTATTATTATTATTATTTATTATTATTATTATTTATTATTATTATTATTTATTATTATTATTATTAACCTAACACGCGACGATTTAAAGAATGAACTTTTTTTTATTCACAGTTTTATTTATTCGTGTCAGGAGGCGATAGTTGATCTTTGGCTCCAAACGTAAGTGACGTAACTTTTTACGAAGGGGATGGCAAATAATAAAAACTATAATAAAATAAAGCAACAATGAAAGATTATATAGATGTTTAAAAAAGAAAAATGAATGGATAGATAGATGATTGGATGGATGGATAGTTGAGTGGTTGAATGGAGGAATGGTTGGATGGAGAAATGGTTGGATAGAGGAATGGTTGGAAGCATGGATGTACATCTGAATGGTTGTATTTATAGAAGAAAAAATAAAAAAACGTATGAATGAATGAGTGAGAAAAAATCGGAACAGAGAATGAATAAAAAATAAAGTTGCATGAGGAAAATAAAAACAAGAAAGATAATGGTTTGTTGATTTAAAATGTACTTGAGAGTAAATCGTGGCTGTAAAAAGGGATGAAGATAGAGAGAGAAAAAGAGAGAAAAAGAGAGAAAAAGAGAGAAAAAGAGAGATAAAAAAAGTTCAAAAAAGAGAGAACATGAATTAAAAAAAATACAGATAGATAGTTTTGAATTAGCAAAGTGAGAAAAAAAAGAAAGTGAAAGAGAGAGAGAGAACTGAAAAAATAAAATAAAAGAAAGAGAAAAAGAAAAATTGAAAAGAGAACAAAAAATTATTGAAGAAAAAAAAATGGATAAAAAGAAAAAAGAAATAAAAAAAAAGAAAGAGAGAGAAAAATGGAAAAAAAAGAAAGAGAAAAAGAAAGAGTAATAAACGAGATATGGAGAAACAGAGAAAAAAAGAATAAAGAGAGGAAGTAAAAAACATTGAAGAAAAACAGAAAAAGAAAGATAAATACAAGAAAAAAAGAAAAAGATACAAGAAAGAGAAAGAAAGATACAGGAAAAAGAAAAATAAAAGAAAGAGAGAGAATGATACAAGAAAGAAAGAAAAAGATACCAGAAAGAGAGAGAAAAGTACAAGAAAGAGAAAGAGAATGATACAAGAAAAAGAGAGAGAAAATAATAAAAATAGAAAAATAAATAAAGGAAGAGAAAGCACGTGATGATATCGTGTTGAAGTATTGATTACCGGGCAGAAAATGTTTTTGCCGGCACCTTCTAATGAAGGATCATTATTTTTTGGGGCAGTTTTTTTAACTTTTTTCATTTTTAGTGCTTTTTTATAACTATTTATTTTGCTGATGATACAAGAAAGAAAGAGAATGATACAAGAAAAAGAAAGAGAAAATAATAAAAATAGAAAAATAAATAAAGTAAGAGAAAGCACGTGATGATATCGTGTTGAGGTATTGATTACCGGGCAGAAAATGTTTTTGCCGGCACCTTCTAATGAAGGATCATTATTTTTTGGGGCAGTTTTTTTAACTTTTTTCATTTTTAGTGCTTTTTTATAACTATTTATTTTGCTGATGTACGTTTTTCATTTGATATTTTAGGTATTAATGATTGTATTTTTTGCATTCCATTTCATTTCCTTGTTTTTTGTTCTGTTGTTTTTGTTTTTTTGATGAGATTTTTGTTTGCGGACGTGACTGAATAATATTTTTTTCATCATTTTTCCATTCATAATTAATTTGATGTCAATATTTTTTTTTATAAAAATAAAGATTAAAGATGATGCTGATGCTGATGGTGATGATGACGACACGAAGACGTTGATGGTGAGAACGACGATGACGTATGATGACGTCAAAGCAGCTAACAACAATGATGACGTTTAAAAACGATGATGATGTTTATGTTTTCACCTCAAGATGAAGATGGAGATGACGATGATGGTTGCTGCTGGAGCTGCTGTGGTTGTAGCTGTAGTTTTGGTTGCTGTTGTAGCTGTTGTGGTTGCCGTGATGACGTCAGTACTTCAGATGTGAATGTTGTAATTCTATTGCTTAGCGATTTTGAGAGTGAAAGATTTCTATTGGGAATCGTTTGCATTGAATAGTTGTTTTGCTGCTGTTGTTGTTTATGTTGTTGTTGTTGATGTTGTTGATGTTGTAATGTCGCGAATTGTTGTTGTTGTTGTTGTGGCTGATGTTTCGGCTGCATCGGCAATTGATATGACTGCAAGAAATTATCTTGCCGGCTGCATTGAATTTGATTTTCTATATAGTGTTGTTGTGAATGCATTTGTTGATGATAATTATTTTGTTTTTGTTGCTGTGGCTGTTGTAGTTGTGATTGTTGAAGTTTTTGTTGGTTTGGTAGCGTAGAACTTATAATACTGGTCTGCTCTTGAATGCGATTATTTGGCATATATTTAGTAAATGAAGGAGAATTTTTAATTTCGGTTATAGAAGTAGATGTTGTTGTAGTTGTTGTTGTTGTTGATGTCGTTGATGTTGTTGTTGTTGAGAAAAAGATAGCATGGAGAGTGTGTGTTTTTTGTTAGACAATGTTTGCTTAGAGGAAAGTTGTTGTTGGTTTCGAACGCTCTGATGTTGCGAATTATTGAATACATAATTTTGCTGACTAGAATCATAAAGTTTTTTTTTGTGTTGTTGCTGTTGTAG